AGGTCGGGTGGATCTCACGTTCGTGTGCGCCCGCTTGGGGAGATTCCATGACAACGCGTGCCTCCACAGCTCGAGGTCTCCAACATACGTGCGCGGAAGGAGGGCGGGCCTTTTTTAGCGTCGTTGTCTCGCAGGAATATGTTTATTATTTGACCCAGCCCGAGCGCATGCACGGTTGGAAGGCGGGCAGCTTTCAAATTCGCGTTGTCGTCGTAAGATCGTGCAGCTAAAAGGCCCCGAGCATTTGCACCGACGGACGACGGTTCACTTTCCATGCCGTGATGCGTTGCCAGACCTGTGATGTCGCCCCGTGAGCGTCGCTTGTTGCGAGGTTTAGGCTCCAGCACTGTGCGAGTTGCTTCGCAGAGTTACGAACATGTCTTGCCGAATCGTTCCACGCGTTGCGATCAGGGAATGTTTCTGCTTTGGGGCCAGGATGGCGCCTTGACGAACTGCGCCATTCGGACTGCTGACGTACAGCGCGCCGAGCTGAGACAGGGTGGTTGTTCAGCCTCGACATGGCAAATTGTATGCCTGAGCCGAGGGCCATCGAGCGGCTCTTGTCGACGCCCTCGTCATCCCTGCCGGTGTGACCTCCAGCCTGTCAGAGCCCTCTCCGTTTCTGCCCATCCCCCCGCCTATCTCCTGATCCCGTCAGTGCAACCTCAGCTAATTCTCTTTCGTCTCTTTCTCATCCGCGCACTCGCTCGTTCCTCTCCCCTTCTTCTCTCGACTGTATCGCCTAGAAGCAGATGCCGAGAGGGCTGTCCAGGACGGGCTGTTTGGGAGGGCTGCCCGCCGTTGCCCCAGGGGACTCCGAGGGGGTGTCCTGCATTTCGACGGACGATGCAGCAGCCGTCTCGACGTCCAGCGTGCCCCCGTCCTCCATCCGCAGGCCCAGCCCCCGACAATCCGCTTTTTCTCTCCACAAGATGGCCCGCCAGAGGTCTCGATCCATCCCCGGGGCCTCGTTTTTCATCCCGAATCGTTTTTTGATGGCCCGGGGACCCAGCGAGGGGCTTCGGGGGCCGAGAACGACAACATACCTTGCGTCGTGCTTTTGTCACGACGCTACGCCAAATCTTTATTAATCGACCACCCCCCAAACAAAACCGGACCACCCTCCAAATGCGGCCTAATTTTCCTGACCCTCCTCTTCGACGGGGCGCCTTCATACATCGGATCCATAAGCTCCAATCCAAAGAAAGCGCCCTTGTAAACCGGACCCCATCCAGTTACAAAAAGGCGCCTTAACAAAACCGGACTCGGGGGACCATTAATAAGGGATTTGGAGTATGGGGTTTGGGGGGGTCACCTTGGTATCACCACAGTGCCTTGTCAGAGCCGCTATGTGGCCCAGGACGGTTTGCGAGCCTCCCTGGCCTCGGCCAAGAGGGCGTGCAAGCCATGCCAGGTCCCAGGGTTAAGTCGGGCCTGTCCCTCTAGAGGAGGAATATTTAAAAATAATAAAAAGATATTGCCTGGGGACGATTTTTTGATTATTTTTTGACTATTTGGGGGTCTTTTCGAGTCTCTTTAATTTTTTGTCAAAACCCGCCAGTAGGGGGACACGCCCGACCTAATCCTAGAGTGGTCGTAGCCAGGCATGGCGGTGATATATGTGCCTTCTGCCTTCGACGGAGGGGTTTTTTGGGCTTTGACTCTCATAGGAGGAGAAGGTACCCATGCTGTTGCCACTGCCTCGTTTTTTTTTTTTATTTTTTTTTTTTTTTTGTTTTCTCTCTCTCTCTCTCTCCCTCTCTCTCTCTCTTTTTTGGCCTCCTCGGAGGGCCTCGTCGCCACCGCTGGACTCGCCTCGAAATCCTGGTCAGAGCGCTCCCCAGGAGAGGCAGCCTCGGGCCTCCGGCGGCCGTTCGGGACCACCTGGGCGCCCCCCGGAGCGCTCCCGGGGGCGAGGCGCAGCTGCCGGGCGGCATCCCTGGGCGAGGAAGGTTCAGGAACCGAGGGCAACTCATTGGCAGGGACCCTTCACGAAGGATTGCAAAAAAAAACACCCTCTCATGAAGGGTTTTTTTGCAATCCTTCGAAGGGCTTTTTTGCAATCCTTTTTTTGTAATCCTTCGAGGAAGTTTCAAGAACCGAGGGCAACTCATCGGAAGGGACCCTTCGAGCTTTCGTCGGGCCTGCGCGGTGTCCACGGGAGCAGGGGCGCAGCCGCGGAGCTCGGACGTGCAGAAGCTCAAGGCGCGGGATCGGCGCTGCGCAAATTCGGTGCCCTCGAGGTTGCAGCTTCGGGGGGCCTCGCCCGTCCTGGAAAAAAAAACAGGCGCCTCTCCGTGTGCCCGCCGCTGGCTCGACGCGGATCCCGCGCGAGTTCGGCGCGGACCCCCCACGGTTTCGACGCGGCTTCGGCGCGGCTTCGCGGCTTGGTCGCGAGCAGCAGCGCGAGATGCGACCGAGCACGGCAGCCTCGATCGTCGAAGTGCCCGCTCCAACTCGCGCCTGCGGCAGGCGAGTTCCAGGTCCACATGAGCAAGCAGTTCCCTGGGCCGGCCCTCCCAAGCGTGGCTCGGTCAGGGGAGGAGGAAGAGGAGGAGGAGGAGGAGGAGGAGGAGGAGGAGGAGGAGGAGGAATCCAGGAGGACTTCGCGATGCCCAGTAGAGGGAGGATCACGCCGCAGCTCGAATGCATCGGCGATGCGGCTCGACGTGGGGCCCGATTTTCTCCACGCTTGCGTCGCCGATGCATCGCCGATGCATCGGCGATGTGGCGCGATCCTTCGACCTCATCTGCCCTGACCCCATCTGGAATGCCTCCAGCTGGAGAAGACGAAGACCAGATAACGCTTCGACACTCTGCGGCAGTTTTTCTCGGGTGTGCCAGTGTACTGGTTCGTCAAAAGAGCATTTTTCCCAGGCGACAGCGGGCGCGGGCTTTACACCAAGGGGGCGGGCGGAAGGGGGCGGCCAGTAACGTCACGTTTCGCGCTAGCGCCGTCTGGGAACGTCCTAGGAATACCCAAGACCGGTTGGCAGGTCAGCACAAATCGTGACGTTGCCGCGGATCGTCCCGGACGGCCGTCTGAGGCCCGAGTTGCCCCCCGCAAGCCACGCCTGGCCTCCCAGATGGGGTCCGAGCAGATGGCTTCTGCAGACCGCGCCGTGTTGTGGATGCGCGCTCAGGTTTTCCCCACGATCGATGGCACTGATGCATGGGCGATACGGCGCAATCCTCCGACTCCATCTACTCAGACCCCACCTGGGAGCCCTCGAAGGAATCATCGCGCAGTGCCACGCCCAGATCATTGGATTCTGGACTTTTCTGATCGCGATCTGTCGCGACCGATCGGTCGCGACCGAGTCTGAAGCAAATCGGTCGCGACCGATCCCAGAGTTTGAAGTAAAATCGGAAGCGACCGGTCTCGTCGGTCGCGACTGGCACGCTTCAGTACCAGATGACCAGGGAGGTGGGTCACCATTGCAGCCTAGGCGCTGAAATGATGAGCACTTCTAGCTCAGGACGTGTTTTCGGTCCGTTCCTCATATCTGTGGCTCTATCTGTCTGGGATCGTATTCGTGGCCGAGGGCCAGGTCCAGAGAAGCCGCTTCGCTCCTTATTCAGCGTTCTGTCTGGTGGCACGATGACTGCACCGATGTCGCCAGCTCCTCCGCTCGTTCAGCAAATCGAGGATGGAGGAGGAGGGAAGAACGAGCACCGAGAAGGTTTGGACGCTCTTATGCGCTGCTGGGGGTCCCGGGGGGGGTTCTGGGGCGTCCAGGGAGGTCGTTCCCCAGAGGAGTGGGCGACCCCCTAGATGATGACCCCCTTGGCAGATCCTCGCCTTGACTCAAGGCTTTCGTCGTTTTTGGCACCTGTTCACCCTACAATTGAGTCGGGCATGTCCCTCTACAGGAGGAAAAATATAAAAAAATAGTCTGGGGACGTTTTTTGACCATCCTTGACCATTTTGGTTTTATGAGTTATATATAGTTATATATACATTTATATAAATATACATATGTATAGATAATGTTTCGTCCAAAATTCCCCCTGTAGGGGACATGCCCGACTTAACCCTACAGTCTTTTCCCTCTTGCGTTTCGCAACTGGTCCCAGCATGCTGGCAAGCTATTGGCAGCCAGGCATTCCTGCGTGGAGTGTTGGGCGACGCGTCAACGGGTGGACCTGCATCTGCAGCACCTGTGCCGACCACGCCGGTTCCTCGGGAATTGAAGGCTCGCTTGTCCAGGCCGCTGCACGAGACGGATGATATCACGGACGACATTGGAGCAGCGGCGGCGCCCAGGACCGGCGCAGAGGCAGCAGCAGATATCTTTGATGAGATGGCGAGTTTCCTTTTCCAGCGAGATCGTCACAAACAAGCCATCCAATGCGCAACTGCTTGACCTGATTTTGAACCCTCTTACCTCCGACGCTCGTACTTTACAAGATGATGTCGCTCGCATCGAGACGTTTTTTGTCAATCTCAGTTCGGAGCGCAGATTGCGGATCACGAGTTTGTCGGAGGATGCCAGTTCATATCGCACCTTGCCGAGTACAAGTACGGTGGTGTAGCTGTGCGTATTCATCGTAGACATTCTAAGCGTGTCGTGGATTCCTGAAGTTTCGAGGCAGGGCGTTCGCCCTTGATCTGAACACTGGGCTTTCAGAAGCTGTCTGTTCCTAGCGTGTACCTGCCGCCCGCTAGGCATCCAAATCATATTGGGTGGCTACGCTCAGATGGATTCTGAAGTACACTGAGCGAAACTGCGTCATAGTAGAATGATCGTGGCTGGAGATTTCCACACGCACGCTTTTATTGGGCAGAAGAATGAACTCCTCAATCACTTTTTTTTTGAACGCAATTTGGATGATTCGAGTGCTGGATGTATCGACGACGGCTGCTAACGAAAGGCGTGATGTTCAATGGGCTTTCCGTTCCAGTCTTGGGTTGAGGCGGTGAATCAATTTCGCGGTGTTGATGTTCACGCTCTACACACGGCGTACCGCCCATTAAACCACTTGGCCCCAGACTCGATCAGTGAATTGCGAGAGCTAAAGGCTATCGCGTGCTTCCCAGATCTGCCTCCGAAACACCAAGCCCGAAGCAGTCAGAAAAAACTGTGTGGTCCTAAACATACCTTTACCCGGCGTCGGCCTGGGTGAAAAAAGGGCCGTGCGCTTGATTGGGCGTTTGCCACTGCGCCCGAGCAGCCCGCCGCGTGCGCGCTGGTTTAGCATCCGCGCGTCAGGGCGCAACGACACGCTGACAGGCTGGTTGTTCGATTGCAGCGACATTCGGGGCCCCAGGCGTTTGGGGCGAGCGCGGGATTGCAGCGGCGCCCGCCAGGAACACCCAGGATGAACTTGCGCGTCGAGCCCCAGACGCTTGATTGTGCGCCTTCGAGGGCGCACCTCCGAACGAGCTACTCTTAGCCCCAGAGCGACAAATGCGCGGGGGCAACTCTGCCGATTGGAACGTACGCGCCTTCGGTACCAGCGGATGCAGGGATGCAGCGTCTTGTGATGTTCTATGGGCCGTCGCATCTGCACTTATGCAACCGCCGTCGGCTGAGGCGCGTCGCTCCCCCCGCCCCTTGCCACCCCGCCTGGGTAAGAGTGCGGATATTGTTCGAGCTCGGGAGGTGGGTTCCAACTCCTGGCAAACGCGGTGATGATGTCAAGTTGCCTGGATCCGTGGACACTCATGTGGCTGCGACTGCATGCAACGCGCGTCGTGGCATCGAACATATTCTGACAACAACATCAAGTTTTTGTGCGCGGGGCGAGCTTCTCAAAACCAAAACCAAAAGTTTGGAGACACGATGCGCTTCAGGAGTTATCACGTCGACGAACACCTGGCCGATCGTCTTAGGCTGTCCAAACTGGTCAGCTGGGGTCACTGGGAATGACCCTGACAACGTTGTGATTCGCGAGCCATGGAAATACTGTGTGGGCTCATTTGGGAGAAAAGGTACCGTATGATCCACGTGCAACCAAGTAGACCGAAGGTGCATCGTCTGATCGTCAATGGTTGTTGTCAGAGTTTTTGTTGACCCAGGTTCTGTAGACGGATCTGTCAGGGGAGAGTGGACTGGATCGACGAGATGTGCGATCGAGGGCCATAATATGACATCCCACGCATCGCCATGGACGATTCGCATTTCGCATTCCAGAGAATTCGCCGAGGAAAATGTTCGCATTCAGCCAGGGTGCGTTGGACATGTTTCCCTACTGCGGGGGCGCCCTGCTTCAAGCTACGTTGGAATGTTTGACTTCTATGTAAAGCACTGGGGCCGCCCATCCATACTGGCAGGAGATTGTTTCCTCATGTTTCTTAACGGCGACGACAAAATGAGAGGTCAATACCTGGCGTCCCATAGCGATTCTTCGCATAACGCGCAACGTACTTGCACGTCACATCTTCCAGCGTCATCTGCCAGAACCGACAACCGCAATTTTCAAACCAATTTGGCGCCCGCCCAGGAAAATCAGTTGATGACGCCTCATTGGTCTTGGGGAGCTCTGTTGCAACTCTTGCGGGTGGGGGCAACATTTTGAATTGGCAGCCTCTATTTGACTAAGTTCCCCGATCGTATTGCGCACCTGCTGCTGTTCAAGGCGTTGGACGTGCAGGGATTTGCATATGAGTGCATCCGGCTCTTGCCAGGCATGTGCCGCAACCCATGTGGGAGCGTCAACGGTAGTTGGTTTTTATAGCACGGGGGGTTCCAGGCAGGGAGCCGTACTGTCGCTGCTTCTAACGAACAGAAGTTTGGAACACGCCGTGGGACGACACATGGAACGATTTTGTGGGAGTGACGTTGGCGTCGGGGGGCTTGAGCGATTCACGAACAGACGGTGCGCGGACCATTTGGTGTTGGCGATGCATTGTTGCAGCTAGGGACTAGATGCGGTGAGCTGCTGACGTGTATGCTGGTGCTGAATGAGGGCAAATCAAGGCATTCACGGACGACCCGTGGTATTTTGTGGCCGCGTATGTATTCGCGTTTTTTTTTTTTTTTTTTTTTTTTTTTTTTTTTTTTTTTTTTTTTTTTTTTTTTTTTTTTTTTTTTTTTTTTTTTTTTTTTTTTTTTTTTTGTGTGTTTTTTCATTCTTTCTTTTTTCTTCGGTGGGCCGAGTTCACGGATGATGCTGGACGCGCAGGTATGTGGAGCGGAAGTTGGCTGAGAACGCGCTGGGGACGTCAATCATCAGCGTGGTCTGCCGCATGGAGTGCGCGTGGGTTGAATACCATGCGAACAGGATTCTCTTGACCAACAGTCACACTACTTCTTGGTAACGGCTGTGTCATTTCGACAGCGCTGTATCGTCGCCTGCAGCCACCTCCGGGTTAGCTGCTTGAGCGTTGTTGCGGCAGCAGCGCATGGAGGTTACCGCTGCGAGATCTGCTATGTTGTGCAAAGACACTGGCTTGTGGAAGTGCCCAGGGGAAGCTTGGGGCAACGTAGGCAGACGGGGAACACGCCGACTTCGTAGTGCGCTCCCGCGGCATCGCGTATCTGATTGGTTGCAGGT